TTTACAATCGTTAGTTCAATTAAATTTTAAATTTGTTAAATTTTTACTTGAACATATTGAACCACAAGAAATTTCACGACCTGTATTGCAAAATGCAAATGTAATATTGATGGATAATGCAAGGCAACTTTTTTTTCCTAAAAAACTATCCAGAGGCAATAGTCGTGATTGCCTCCATAATGATCTTATTGATCTTCTTAAAGAAAAAGGTGGAGGATGGCCTGCTGGATGTGAAAATACAAGGGGAAAAATATTTTTAGAGCATTTGTCTAGTGCAATTTGGTATATTGATCCACATATCCAATTGCTTAAAAGTCATTCATGTGATATACCTTCTTTATTTCAGCAATTGCCAAAATACAAATCAGGTTCTATTTATAATACATATTATTTTAAAACATATCAAAAAAAAGAAAAACTTTCTTGCCAAAAATTACTTGAACATTGCAAATCTATTGAGTATAGTGCTAGTGAAATATGGGCAAGTAAAAAATGTTGGTTAGAAATTATTCCAGAGGTTTTTAATCTGGCTATTATGATGCGAAAATATGCTGAACATTCACAAAAATCTTTACAACTTACTAACAATGCACATTATTCTACTGAGTTAGTTCGTACACCTAGTAAACATTGTAAACTTAAAATAATTTTAGACAATTTAAAAATTGATTCCAAATATGATGAACTAGAAAAAAACCTTGCTAATAGAGAACTTTATAATTTTATTAAAATTTTCAAGTTTCTTCCATCAGAATGTATTGAATGTCACCGATGGATTATTCAGCTAAAATTATCATTTCCAATTTGCTTATATAGGTATATATATTTATAAGTTTGTATTTATTTGCTAAAAAATAAAACTAAATTATAATTTATATATTTGTCTTTAGATATAGTCAAGGAAACTATCTTGGTAATCTTAATTATATTTGGCGAATTAGTGAGCCTGAACATATTAATAATAAACATGAAATTTGTAATGTGCAAGCAATTGCTTCAATTAATAAAATTATACCACAATTTATGACTCAAATAATGAGAAAAAATGTTATTAATAAAGTAAGTATTTATATATACTCTATATATATTAGTAAATTATATTCTTATTATTTATTTATTCATTATTTATTTAGTATTCATTAATAAAAACATTAAATTCAAGTGTTCTTAATATATTGTATTGTAATTTTATTGGTGATGCATTTACTTTGAATACTATTAGTAAAGATGTAAAAGAATGATTAAGATTAATGCTAGAAATTGAAAATCCTAATATTATTTTTGATCTTTGATCAAATAATGGCTTTAAAAGATCAAATTTTGATATATTTTGGGCAGAGTTACAGGCTTTTTTTAATGAGATGTTTTTTTTTTTTTTTTTTTTTTTTTTTTTATGTTAAAGGTGAGACCTTGCTCTTATCTTTATTAGATTTAACAAAAACTTTT